CACAATTGCAATTTTAATTCAAATTGAAATAACAGTAACTGCAAAAAAAAAAAAAAAAAATCTCCAATAAAGCAAAGTGGTAGATTTTTTTTTTTTTAAAGTCAAGTTGTCCAATTACTACAACATAATATTTAGCGAAATGGCCCCAGAGCTGCTTTATTTGAGTTCTTGATTTCTTGCCAAGTTGCAATGTTCCCAACCATATTGACAAAATTTCAAAAAATTTTATGTTGTTGGCTTGAAGTGGGACTTTCTGAGGGTTGGATAATTCATGTTTATAAATGGATTCTCAAAATGACAGTTTTTGTAATCCGTTTGTTTTTTAGTTTTATGTTAACCCCTTAAGGACGGAGCCAAATGTACACGTTGTGAACAAAACAAAATATAAACAAAACCTGGCATTTGCGCTACATGTCTGTCCAACCGTAATTCACCTCTTGCATATTAAATGCACCCACCCTTCTCATATATCATTTTATTCAGGGGAAACAGGGCCTTCATTTAATATCAAATATTTAGCTATGAAACATAATTTAATATGAAAAAATGGGAGAAAATTTTTTTATTTTTTTATTTTTTTTAGTTCTACATGACATTTTAACTGTCAATGTCATAATATTGTTTGCTTTTACTGAAATAAAATACACATATTTGTATTCAGCAAAGTCTCACGTGTAAAACAGTACCCCCTATGTACAGGTTTTATGGCGTTTTGGGAAGTTACAGGGTCAAATATAGTACGTTACATTTGAAATTGAAATTCGCCAGATTGGTTACATTGCCTTTGGGACTTTATAGTAGCCCAGGAATGAAATTTACACCCATAATGGCATATCATTTGCAATAGTAGACAACCCAAGGTATTGCAAATGGGGTATGTCCAGTCTTTTTTAGTAGCCATTTGGTCAACACTGACCAAAGTTAGCGTTAGTATTTGTTTGTGTGAAAAATGCAAAAAACGCCAATTTTGGCCAGTGTTTGTGACTAAGTGGCTACTAAAACAGACTGGACATACCCCGTTTGCAATACCTTAGGTTGTCTACTATTGCAAATGGTGTGCCATCATAGGGGTAATTTTCATTCTTGGGCTCGCAAGGACCTCACTCTCACATTGCCGGGGGGGCTGCCAGGGGGTCGGACGTGCTGTGGGGGGCTCCCTGGGAGTCCCCCCAACCGTGATTGCCGGTGTGGGACCACCAGCGACCGGGTAAGTAAAGAAAGACCGGAGGGCGTACTATTACGCCCGGCGGCGTTTAGAGCCGCCTAAAATAGGACGTAATGGTACGCCCTCCGGTCTTAAGGGGTTAAAATCTCCCATGGAAGCTTTACGAGAAACCTAAGAAAAATGTCAATTTTGGAACAAGACCTTCAGCAAATTTTAAATTCTGAGAAAGAGATATAAAGTTTGTAGCATAGCCGAAGGGCCTGTTTAAGCACTGAGGAAAGCAATTTGCAGCTATTAACACAGTACATTACTTAATACATATTTAAATATATGAAGGGAACAAAGCGCAAGAGGAAAATATTTTTCTCAGGAAGGTTGGTATTTAATGTTTAAATCAGAAAACCGTGTATTAGTTGTTTTTTTTTTTTTTTTATGCCAGCTGTCCTGGGTTGGAGGCTCTTGAACTCTACACTCATTGTTCTAGCATTAGCCTTTACGAGATGAATCAGAAGGCTCTATTCCATTTTAACCTATTATAGTCCAAATGTTAAACTTTTCTCTTATAATGATTGAGTTCGGCATTACAAATTTTGAAAAGATTATTAAAGGAACACTGTAGTGTCAAGAAAACAAAATGTATTCTTAACACTATAGTGCTAGAGTAAATATTAAGGGTTAACTCTTCAGAGTGGAAAGAAAATGTATAGGGGATCCGTGACAAGAACCTACAGAGATTGTCACATGTTTAGAAGACAACAATTCTATAGAATGTCCTGATTGTACTATCATAACTCATACAAGTGGATTGGCAGAGGAGTTGCCAGTAAACCTTGGTCAGCCACAGTCCACTTTGGGTTGTCATCATGAGTCTACGAATCTAGATTTTTAGGAAGCTGTCACAGTTCAAGAACAGTTAGCCCCTCCAAACCATACACTGGTGGAATGTAAGAGGAGTGGCCAGTAAACACTGACACTGTGATTTATAACACAGACTACTACTATAAGACTACTATAAGACTACTTTGGATTCTCTCATTGTTCAGCAAGAGGAGTTGCTTCTAATCAAACAAGAGAGCACCCCTGAGCAGAAGCAAACTGAGATAAAGAATAATAAACCTGGATCACATGTGATCCTGAGCTGTGACCCTGAAGAGCAGCCATTGCCAGAAATAGAATGCAAAGAAAAAGAACCACCTGGTGAGGTTGATATAGTTGCAAAGCAAATCACAGAAAGCCAAGACCTTGAAGTATATGTACTCCAAGAGGAGCCAAATATCAAAGCATAGGTATAAAGGATATGCTATAACAAGGATTTTTTTTACCTCGATTAAAATCTATCATCACACAGCAGCCAAAATACTTCTCTGAAATCTGTAAAATCTACAAAGGTATGGTTATTAGACCTCACCTTCGGCCAGTGGATCCATCACAATTGATCAGCAGAAATTGTACACCTCTATCTGCAAATTTCTGCCCCCCCTGTTAAGGGTAATCACAGACTGCCACCTGGAACAGATTAAATGAGATCTCAGCATGCTCCAGGTAAAGAACCTCGTAATATTATTCAATTATATTAAAATGTTAAACAGCAAACATCTGAAAAATCTTGGAAACCTCCTATGAAAAGGGCAAATGAAGATCCCAATAGTGCGAAGACTCAAGAACTGTTTTGCAGAATACGCAGTATTCTGAATAAGATCACTCCTCAGACATTTCAACACTTAATAAAACAGGTGAAGGACCTCTTTATAGACAGAGTATCAGATGAAAGGTGTTGCTGAACTCATATTTGAAAAAGCAATAACAGAGCCATATTTCACAGTTATATATGCAAACATGTGCAACTGGCTAATGATGCTTGAGGTCCCAACAGAAGACAATCGGCATTACGTTCCGTAGGCTGCTACTAAATCTTTGCAAGATTTTTTAGAGAGGTGAAAATGGGGTTGAAGGAATTCAAAAATTGCAAAAGGAACTAGATGCAGCTACGTCACATAAGGAAAAACTCAACCAAAGGAGAAATCGAGTGATGCCTGTAATAAGGCATGCAAACGATCCCAAGGGAACATCAAAATTATCGGGGAACTATTTAAATTAAAATGGATTTCAGAAAACATCACGAATGACTGTATTATTAATCTATTGAACAGGAACAGCGAGGAGTCCATGGAGTGCATGCATTTTGCTTACGTCAGTTGGAAAATACCTGGGAAGTGGAAAGTATTTGCATTGATGACTTTTTCAGGAAGATATCTTTATACAGGAAATAAAAACAGGAAATCATCTTCTCTGATTCGATTTTTGGTGCAGGATCAGCTGGATTTTTTTTTAACATTCTTTATTTATTGATGATTTTCCAAAGTAAATGGGATTCAGAAAAGAGTGGGTAGGGTACGGCATTTTTTTTTTTAGTTTTTTTTTAGGTGTCTTCTCGTTGGGGCTAGGCCGTGTACACGGTTGCAAGTGTTCCTTTTAGGGAATTTTGACTCTTTTGGCAATGTCAAGTCCATTGTTTCACGAGGTTCTGGCTGGACCAGAGAGTGCAACACCCTAAGTGGTCAGGGAGTGCAACACCCTAAGAGTGTTATTTACAATGGAATTGGGGTGGGGTATGAGGGTGTTTAGTGTTCAGGCCTCTTGTGATTCCAATTGTCTCATGGTCGTTGTGTGGCTGCTAAGATTTTAGGCCCGGTGTTGGTCTCTTAGGGTTGGGGACGTAGGTAAGGGTACAGAACTATTTACAGCATGGGTCGTCAACCTGGTCCCTACCGCCCACAAGTGGGCGTTTCAGGATTCCAGGTGGGCGGTAGGGATTTCGGCGGCTAAATCCTCTGATTGAGAGAGTGGGTGGCAGGGCCGGACTGGCCCAGCTGGGGCTTGGCTGACAGCCCTAATGATCATTATGAAGGAACGAGCTGGGGGCTGGTGTGGCTGCCAGTGGCCACAGGGAGACCTCTCAGTCTCCCTGCACACTCTAAAATAATTTCGGCCGCATGCCCCGCCTCCTAACAGAAGCTCCGCCTCCCGCAAACAAGCTCTGCCCCCATGCACGTTTCTGGAGAGCTGCCATCGGACCAAGAGGACACTGAAAGGTATTTACCTTTTTACAGCCCCCTTCCCACCATTCAAATGCCCCCTACCCACTATACAGCCCCCATACCCACCTCACAGCCCCCCTACCCACTATACAGCTACCCTACCCACTATACTGCCCCCCTACCCACCTCACAGCCCCCCTACCCACCTCA